TGCACTAAAATACAAATATCATTACAGCCATGCATCACATTTCCTGATGCTCGTCACTCTTATTATTGGTTTTGATCATTATTAGCTGTCACTCAAATGAAATGCAAATCCAATCCAATCAAATGGGTTAGCTAACTATACAATTTGTCATTTTAATATGATGTCACTGAAAATGTAGCTGATCTGATGACCAGGCTTTCTGTGTTTTCATCCAGTATTTGATCATTCTAATGATAAAATAATCCGGTGTGTTGGTTTATAATGTAGGACATGTACAGTAGTTAGTCAAATAGTAAACCATTAGCAACCTTCAGTCAACGATTTTGGTTTGGTTGTCATGATGTGGCCTAAACGTTGCAAGTTAACCCAATAATCAAGTATTTAAAGATTGCAAATACTATCCTTAAATGTCATCATCTAGATATTAAATTTAATCTTACACCCGACTGCATTTACTTATCCATCATGCTAATGTCCTGTCTAATCTTTAATCTAAATGTCTATCCACTAAATGTTTGGATTTCTGACGTTTTAATTGGCATTTTGGTTTATCCCTATGGTACATTATATTACATTACATATCATTACAAGCTTTTGTCCAAAGCGACTTACGATAAGTGCAGAAACCATAATATATGAACTAAGTATGAAAGAAGTATGAAAAAAAAAGCTACACAGAAGTCTTAGCACATAAGGGTGGAATATACAAATGTATTTTATTGACGACATGTGCATTATATATGTACCTGGGGTAAATGTGTTAACACTCTCTGTGGTGCTTCAATGCCATCTCCAAACAAGTCTTCATCAGACCAAAGAACAGTTGTTTCTGCGGCTGGATTATTAAGAGATCATTTGTGCTTCTTTACCATGCTACTGTTCAGCTGCAGCTTTATAGAAAAGCAAAATGTCCAGGATTGAAATGATAGCAGTTTAGTTCACTAAATACATCATTATAATTTCATCATAAAACATTTCTCTGCTATTTGTGAGTTTTTAAAAAAAGAAATCACCAACATTATATTTTACGCTATAAAAAACGCTCAAGTTGACATCACGCATGCTAATATTCTCAGTGGAAAAAGTCAATAGGAGACCGTAAATGTCTTTGCACGGCTATTAAACCTAACACAAAAACGTGCTGTTTGGTTTGGCCTATTACAAACTAATGCACCAGCACTTTGTCTTTATGAGCGAATGTAGTTATCTTTCTGTTGTGAGTTGAAGTGCAATGTAATATCTATCCTTAGAGCCTCTTTTAGAGTTGAATTTGTTTCAGCTTTCCTGAACTTACTCACATTAAAGCTTAAAGTCCAGACATAATAATCACATTCATCTATTACCATGAACCATACCTGAAAAACATGGTGGCACACTGTCTGTATCTTCACTGTTTAAATTGGTTATGCTGCATTCTTCATTAATGACATTCCAGTGAAGTGTGTGGTTCTTTAAATATCTGACAGCTGTGTGTGTGTTTGTGTGTGTGTGTGTGTGTGTGTGTGTGTGTGTGTGTGTGTGTGTGTGTGTGTGTAGTGTGTGTGATGTGTGTGTGTGTGTGTGTGTGTGTGTGTGTGTGTGTGTGTGTGAGAGTGTGTGTGTGTGTGTGTGTGTGTGTGTGTGTGTGTGTGTGTGTGTGTGTGTGTGTGTGTGTGTGTGTGTGTGTGGTGTGTGTGTGTGTGTGTGTGTGTGTGTGTGTGTGTGTGTGTGTGTGTTGTGTTGTGTGAGTGTGTGTGTGTGTGTGTTGTGTGTGTGTTTGGTTCCTGAACAAACAGCTGCAGGACTACAGCATCTGTCCTGCACCTTTCTGATTCCTGCCATGTACATACTACAGCAGTTTGCTGTTAACATACGCAAATGTTGTCCACACAACTTTTTTCTTTTCCTGAAAATGTGTCCTTCAACACTAAAGCTTGTAAAGCAAAATCGAAGCTAGACATTCCAACATATCGAAGAGTAGGACGGTCGGTGTTGATACCGCCAAATTGTCTGTCTTTCCGTATTCTGACAAGAAGAGGAGTATAAATAGGAAAGTGATTACGGAAAGTTGGCCTCTAGTTTGTTACATTCTGTCCGGTCTGTGCAGTCTTAAATATGACAAGAGGCCATCTTCTGCAGATGTATCGATAGCAGATGTTTTTTTTCTCCAGAAAGCTCTGAAAAATGACTGTTTAAATTCATAGAGGAAAATTAAGCCTTTAAGAATGAGACTCATTTTTGTTTTTGGTGATGATGGTATTTGGTCTCAGTTGAACTTAATCAGCAAGACATATTTTTGACAAATACAAGGAACAAATAAAACACTTTTTGAAACAGAAAAGAGTGGCTGTAGAATATTATTACATCAACTTTTATAATGATCAACTCTAGATTTAAACTATTTAACTTTCCGTATTTGCTGATATAATATTTCTAGCCATTCAACAATATTACTGTTTTCTACTCAAGGGCAAGTATAGCAGTGTTAATGATGGCTGTGAGGTGTGACATGATTGACAGTTGGTTTGCCATATCTCCCTCAATAGGGCTCCCATTTTTCACTGATTACTGTGTCGATGTGTCTGTATAACACACACACACACACGCGCGAAACTATGCCGACACACAAAGGGAGCCCACTGTGGCTCTCCCATCAGGCCAAGGTGCGAGAAAAACACACAAAACAGACGCAGCAAATGTGTCCACACTCATGCATATGGAGTGTGTATGCATATGTGTGTATTGTGTGTGCACATGTCAATAGACAGATTCAATGTGAAAGGCATTAGCATTCAGTGATGATGTTTCTAAAGGCTCTCATGGTGCCACTGGACTCATGCGCTCACATTCAGCCTCTGTAGATGCGTTTATAATTAAAAGGGCTCTCGCTCTCTAATAGGAGTGGTGTGTGTGTGTGTGTGATTTAGAATATATGGCACAGATTGATCAGATAAAGAGCCAAAGTCATATTACTTCTACTGCTAAGCCTATTCACACTGAGAGCACTGATCCCCCTCTTTCAGTTTTTTCTCTGAGTCTGTAAATCTTCCTGTGACGCTGATTCTGCTGCTTTTCCCTTTCCTCTTCTGTTAACCCAAGTGTTTTTCAGAAATATTCCCCTCAGCTTTGGTATGTTGTGGATGCATATAGAGTCCACTGAGCTCTCTAGCTGTCTGTTGTTTGTGTTCAGCTACCGTGCCTTGTTCTGCGGAAAACCACTATTCTAGAAATGTTAAATGCATCACTTAGTCCGTTTGTAATGCAAATAAAATAAATAATGAAGCTATTTGTTTTCGGGAAACAATCCTGATTACTATAAAATGACTTATTGAAACCAATGGTCACAGTAGATAGCGTCAAAAGAGGAACATGGAATGCCGATCATGTTGTGTTTTCCTTATTTTATAGAGAGGAACTGATTTAATTTGCCGGCACACAAACAGAAAGATGCCGATGGTGCTGTACGACTGAAACTCCAGCAACTTTTTATCAGTGTGGACATTTTTCTCATATGAACTGAGTAAAGAATAATTCCAAATCTATGGTGACGCAGTATACAATATGAGGCCTTAGTATTAATTCATTGTACGTGAAAACTTTATAAAATGTGATTGGTTGAAGGATGAGCAGGCTAGTGTGTGCGTAGAAGGAAACTGGTTGTGTGTGTCTATCAATGTTTTGAAATAGATTCTTTACACACTTCTCACCTCTTCTGTCCTCCATTATCCCCCCCCTTGTATCCCCTCTCCTTTCCCTCCACTCATTCCTCTCTCCTCCTCACCCCTCATCCCCTCATCTAGTGCCCCTATCTCCTCCTGCTGCATCCCCCACAACCTCCCTCCACCCCTTTGATAGACAGGGTGTCCTCACCTTATAACGATCAGTGACATCCAATATGTTTGGCTTGGGATCATCCCCTGTGAGTCCATTGTGCTTTCTGTTAAACGCTTTATTGATTAGCCATGAGTTAATTACAAATGACATCAACCGTGGGCATCGAGGTGGCCTGCACGCGGCTGCAGGATCCATCCTGGTGGAGGGAGCTATGACATGTTGACTACACACACCTGCAGGCGTGCATCTCCACCTTAGCGGGTTACGGCTACCTGCTTTCCCTCCTTATTAACAACCATGCATTTATGACATTTCACTGTGCCTTATCAACGCTTTAAGGGCATGCAATATTTTCTGGGCCATTATAGTGAAAAGGGAGTTTTCTGCAAGACACCAGGGGTATGCGCCCTGAATGCTTAATTCTATCAAGCACAACTTGACTCACCCTATGCAAAAATTATGAGGCTGTGCCAAATCCACAGCAGACCTTTGGAGGCTAATGTATTCTGGATTTAAGCTCCATTGTAAAATCCATAACACGCCTGCACCGGACCTGCTCTGCTGCAGCACCCCGAAAACAACCCCTCACCTCTGACTTTTTGCACAAAGTTAAGAAATGTAAACAATAGCAGAATAATAATTATAGCTTCATAATGACAATAATAATAATAATCGTTTCAAGCTTCAACAGCATGCACTTTTTCGAGATGTTTCCTTTTCATGCCGTGTCAGTTTCTCTTTGACATTGCCATGTACTTTGTGCAAAAGGAAAAATGGAGCGAAAAAAATCTTTATCAAATCCCCATTCTGAGGCTTTCAATAAGGCAGGCCATTACCTCACTGGAGCTTTTGTTCGGCCTATACAAGAGAGAACAAAATGGTTATTCAGGAGGACGCTTTAGATTTTTATTGTGGGCTTGCTATTCACAAAGAGCACCGTTATTGTATTAAAAGAACCATCTGTGGCAGAAACAATGGCTTCAAATTATCTGTGAATACCCAGTGAACAAAATATAAAGCTTTTTCCTGCTCATTATGTGGGCTAAGCTAGGGGGTGGAAGATAGGAGAGGAGAGGCATAGACTTTGCTATAACTGACTTTTGTTGTTCTTGCTTGCATTCTTCTCCTTTTTAAATCGGCCCCCTTTTCACATTGTGTGTCGCCATAAACGGCTTTTCTTGTTGCAGGGCTCGCGGAAAGAAGACAGCGCAGCTCCAGACAGACAGCGGGGCTACACGGCGGACATAGCGAGCCGGCTGCCGGATAGAAACAGCGCGGACTACCGGGGATGGGGGAACTTGCGGAGGGCGCCGTTTTGAGATTTCGCGGCCGGCGTTGGGAGCTCTGTGCCGGGCACGAGTAGGCTTCCTCACCGGGGGAAGCGCGAGGGAGTTATGGAGGAGGTTGAGAGGAACGGCATCTTGTTTAATGTCTGCCAATCAAGACGAGAGGAGGACAACTCCCAAACTGGCAGTAAGTTGGAGTGCAGTGGAGAGGAGAAGCCGTTTGTGTGTGCGTGTGTTTGTGTGTGCGTGTTGAGTCGGGGTGTGTGTAAACCATGCAGTGTTGTGGAATGACACCGCATGGCATCATGAGCTTCACTGACTGTCTGAGTTGTTGGCCGCTTTGCTTTACTCAACATGCACAGAATAAATATTGTATTTATATCCTTGACGTTATATATAATAATTATGGTTATATGTTTTCCCCTTTGAATATGTATTATATACAACGGCAAACAAATGCTGGTTTAATTACAAATTATACAGAACTTTGGATTGTTATTTCTAAAATCGGTTACCTTTTATTAGGAGATTACAAATGTTTTATTTTTCTCCGCTTAATATGCTTAATATTTTACTTATATTATTAATATTTTTATTTTCTTGCTTTAGCCTATATTTTAATTGCATATGGCCTTAAACGAAATGTTGTCAAAGTTGCAACCTGACAAATACTGCATAAAATGCTAACTATTTTAAGTTTGTCGTCGACTTAAATATCATAAATATATCATGTCATATATATTTGCAAGAAATAGTAAAATTATGAGATAAACCATAATTTGAGCAATAAACTCGTGTCTTCAAAATTCAAAACAATTGGATTCCTATGTTTATCTAAAAAATAAAAGGAAAACAAGCTCTACGTTATTTATATTTTCCACAATTATCTCCGAGCAGGATGTATTAATGATTTCATGAAGTATTTTCTCGGCTGCATCCCAGCCCCTGTTACGGCCCCTAGTGGAAAGAAGAGACAAGTTTATTTCCATTTCACCTGAAATCTGTACCTCTCATTGCCATAGGCCTACAATAATAATTCAAATATATTCAAATCTTCAACATAATAACTACTTTTAATTGTGTCACGTGTAAGCTTGTATTTGCATTGTATTAGTTACAAAAGCATTATGCCATAGCTTTGTATGAGTTGACATCCTCTTTGCGCAGTTGCTAGAATATTTTCCAGTTATATTGTTGCTCTTTTTTGTTTGCTTGTTTTTGCAGTGATCCTAAAATCATCTAAATTGGTGAAACCATGCAGTATGTTGATATCACAGCGTGGGGTGCCTGCTGTATTTGCTGTATCCATCCCAACCTGGTGTATCGCGGGGGGCTTACAAGTGGTCCGAGGGAGCCGCCCTGCTAGTTTCTACAGTTTTTTTGTCTAACAACGGCTTTAATTCAGGATGATTGTGGATGCAGGGCCATTCCCGGCTGGATGGGGCCTGCTTTCAGAGAGCTGCAGGGCCCCGCTGTTCCTTTATTATCATAAGCAGATTAGAGGTAGCGGGGAACACACTCAGATGCAGATAGCAGCCGAGCGCCCCATTTCAACCTTGCATTATAATGGCCCGAGCTGCATGTGTCGCCTCTCGCAGCCTATTAAGCACAAGATGAATCTTATGTAAGGTGGCCGGGGCCGGCATAATGAGAGCACGGGGGCTCCTCTCCTCCATGTATTATCAAATGACTAAAACAAAAATAATAAGGCTTGATCCATTCACTTTCAATTATGATTTAATCTAGAGACACGCATTTAAATCAAATTATTTCAGGTGTATGTACTTGATCTACCTTTAATTATTGGGGTTGTCTGATTTGCAGACAGGCTGTGTTGTGACTGAATACACCGTGTGCCTGTCTGTTATTTTCAACTGTTGCTGGATAATAATATATAGCCTACGTGTTAAAATAAAAATGCATGCTATTTACTATAAAAAATTAACCGAACTCTAAAAACAAGCTTCCCTTTTGCTGTGAGGAGAAGCCTGTCTGAGCATTTGCAGTTGCTTGCAGTTCCCTCTCTGTCCAGTAGGCGGCACTAGTGTCCCACAGTCTTGTCTTTAGGATGGAGATTCAGCAGAAGCAAAACAAGTGGCACCCACACTTCCAACCGTAAAACATAACTTTAGTCGTTTTTGGATATTAAAACTATATGAGTGAATCATTTCGCTTTAAACACGAAGATATTGGTTTTCTGTCATAGTAATCGCAGTGTGTTCGGTTTGATCTGGAATAAAGTGAAGCAGGTGGAGGCCGCTTTTCATTCACACTAATTGGCTGACACGCTTGTTCAGGCTGATATGAATGAGCTGTGCCTTTTGTGCAAACACACTTTATCTTAAAATATTCCTCACCTTTATTTCTCCTCCCTTCGTGTCCCCGGTAGGACGTCCCCCCCCCCCCCCCCCCCCCACCCCACTACAAAGCACCAACAACAACAGCAGCACTGTGGCAGTGGAAGTGGAGTGGAGTTGGGTCTTTGTCCGGACAGATGTAGCGACAACATCCCAAACAAAAACCGCTTATTTGTGCTGAGATGAGCCCGTCTGCCTTCTGTGTGTTGGCATTCAACTTCACTAAACAAAGGGCTGGGGGAAACATCTTGGATTACCTTTCCTCTTTTCAACGCTAAAACCAGCCGTGGCTTCCCCCCCCCCCCCCCCTCTCTCTCTCTCTCACACACACACACACACACACACACACACACACACACACACACACACACACACACACACACACACACACACACACACACACACACACACACACACCAGTATATTCAACGCTTTGAGTTAAGTTTATTTAAGTGTTGTTATGTTATTGGGCCGGTAAGTGGGGGCATTAGTGACTTTTTGATTCTGAACAACAGAAGTGTCACGGGCCAGGACTTAATGTCAGAACAATGCTGTCCAAGATAAGATGATACTGACACCATTAATGTCAACATTTGATTAATTTATTTAATAGTTGTTATTTATTTTGTTCATACTGTATTACAAATGACCCTTTGCACTTTAGATTAGATTTGGATGCTGCAAATGTTAATAAGAAAACAACCAAAAACATTAATTTTTCGATTTATATCTTAGACCATTTTTGACATATGTTGTGTGTTTATTAGGAAAGTAGTATTTTACTTGTAAATGTTTGCAAAACGATTTTTCTAAACAGCCAGAAATATGTGTTCCAACTTCCTCTTTCTCCGTATTAATATAACTGCCAGTGTGCATATATTTCCATAGAAATATCTCCATAAGCCTGGAAATAGTAAATACTTTATATTGGCTCATATGGGCAGCCTGAGTGTGCGTGTGTCTCGGGCAGAGCAGCCCCGCCCATTTATGCTAATTAATGCCTCCCATTGGTGTGTCAGGGGAGCAGGCCCGCTCTGATTGGCCAGGTCGAAGCCATTTATTCTCTGACAGCCCCGTCACATGAATGGTTGTCTATTAACTTGTTCAAAAACTATCTGGAGTTGACAAGGCTCAGGCGGACACAGGCGAAAAGTACAGTTTGTTGATGCTTTCTCGGAGAGGCGACAGGAGAAGTTTTGTGGACACAACATAGCCGGGACCTATTGGGAGAAGGCTCTTTCCCACACACACTCAGCCACACTCACCGAGAGGAGAAGAGAGTGTAGATGAGACGCGGCTTGTTGTTTTTTTTCCAGAGAAAAAGTTGCAGAGCAGAATCGACAGGTAACTTTTAGCAGCAGCACTGCGCTCCCCACTGCCCTGCCTCTGGCTTGTGGAGTTTGTCTCTGTGTGTTTTTATTTTTAAATTCTCCCCCCTCTCGGGAGGTCCAACTAAAAGCTGTTCCTGATGTATAACATGATGGAGACTGAACTGAAGCCCCCTGCTCCCCAAACCAACACGGGGGGCCCGGGAAACAACACGTCCGGAAACGGACCCAACCAGAAAAACAGTCCGGAGCGGGTCAAGAGACCCATGAACGCGTTCATGGTGTGGTCCCGGGGCCAGAGGAGGAAGATGGCGCAAGAAAACCCCAAAATGCACAACTCGGAGATAAGCAAGAGGCTGGGCGCCGAGTGGAAACTTCTGTCCGAGAGCGAGAAGAGACCTTTCATCGACGAAGCCAAGAGGCTGAGGGCCCTGCACATGAAGGAGCATCCGGATTACAAATACCGGCCCCGGCGGAAAACCAAGACCCTCATGAAGAAGGACAAGTACACCTTGCCCGGTGGGCTGCTGGCTCCGGGAGGAAACGGGATGGGATCTGGGGTCGGTGTGGGGGGTGGGCTAGGCGGTGGGGTGAACCAGCGGATGGACAGCTACGCAGCACACATGAACGGCTGGACCAACGGGGGCTACGGCATGATGCAGGACCAGCTGAGCTACCAGCACCCGGGTCTGAACGCGCACAACCCGAGCCAGATGCAGTCCATGCACCGCTACGACATGAGTGCGCTGCAGTACAACAGCATGACAGGCTCCCAGGGCTACATGAACGGCTCCCCGACATACTCCATGTCCTATTCCCAGCAAAGCACGCCTGGGATGACCGCCCTGGGGTCCATGGGTCCCTCCTCGGTGGTGAAGTCCGAGTCAAGCAGCTCCAGCCCTCCCGTCGTCACTTCGTCGTCCCACCGGGCCGGCCCGGGCTGCCAAAGCGGGGATCTGAGGGACATGATCAGCATGTACCTGCCCGGGGCGGATGTCAGCGAGCAGAACGCCCAGACCAGGCTACACATGTCCGGCCACTACCAGAGCACCGTGCCCGGGACGACGATCAACGGCACGCTGCCCTTAACACACATGTAAGAGACACACAGAGAGAGAAAGAGAGAAAAAATGAACTTTTATAAGATAAACTGTGGACTATTAACGTTGGACTATTTTTGTACAGAAAAAATTCGGGGTGGGAAAAGTTGTATAGAAGTCTCCAGGAAAAGGACACACGACTCTTTTTTTCTTTCATTTTATTCTAAGGAAGCTCTAGAGGAACGGTAGGAGATCCCCTGGTCACTGGTGGATGAAGTTTGGAAGACTAGAAAGTGGGAGTCGCAATCAAATGTTTTATTATTGCAATCACCTTTTTGTACAGTATTTATCAAAGAAACATTACAATCAGATTAAATTGTTTGTTAAACTGCAAGAGGTTGCAATTTCTTTTTTTCTTTTTTTCTATATATATAAAGCAACGCCGGTTCTGCAGAAAATATT